TAGTGTAATTTTATTCGTGTAAACATTGTAATCATGTAGTGTAATTTTATTAGTGTAAACATTGTAATCATGTAACGTAATTTATTCTGGAAACATTGTAATCATGTAGTGTAATTTTATTAGTGTAAACATATAGTGTAATTTCAGTTTTAATTTAGTTAAAATAACTGTTTATATTTAGAATGAATTTTTTAGTAAGATATGAAATTGTGAAACGCAATAGATAGTTTCCTAGTTTTTTTAGTGTCATATCTATTTTTATTGCTTTTAAAGAACTCATTTAAGAAATGTGGTGGGACAAGCCCGAGTTTATATTTTAGCATGAACAGTAAGTTTTTTTAAATGTTAATTCTATAGACGTTAAGTGCATTAAGGAGTTTTAACAAAGGTTCAGCATGAGTGAGTTTATCTTTTTTATAGACAATTCTAACGGCATGTTTTTAATGTTGATAAAGTGATATTGTCAATATCTTTTTCAATGAAGGGTCTTTTAATACAATTTTCAATTGTATTAAAAGACCTTTCCTCAGGATATTTCTAATAGTCTTCTCAAGGATTTAGATCATTACTTTTACCCAAATACAGTGAAAACTTTGATTCTTTTTATATCCAAATTATATCTAGTAATTTTAGAAGTACTCATTCTTCCTGGTAATATTAGATAAATACTAAGAATTAACAAAACTAGAAATTAACCAAACCGGAAGTAAAGTACTTTTGTAGTGCATATTCATGATTGAGGTACATGAACATAATTTATGAGGTTCATAGGTACGGAAGTAAATTATTCCAGTTTTATCGATTGTTAGTGTGAATAAAGAAAAACAAAGAGCATTTAAACGATCATTTAACATTGAGGAATGGAGATCATTCTTAACTAATGCCATTTTTGAAAATGCTTTCTCTGCAATACAATTGGTAATGGGAAGCGTAAGAAAAATCCGTTATGCAATGTCAACATTAGGAAAAACTGATTCTAACTTATTCCTACGAATTGCTTGTAAACATTCACGTGCTGATACATTCTTCTCATTTGCCATGAACATGGAAAACTGGATAAATTCATCAAGGAATTGCTTATCTAAGTCTGAAAGAAAAATAGTACACAAGGATTTGGCAGAAGCAACAATGACAGGAACAGTCATGATCTGAAAACTAGTTAGAAAACCAAACTTTCTCTCTGCAGACTTGTAAGCAAAAAGTCTTTCTTTTAAGCACATCTTCAACTTGTCTATGATTGGGAAGAGCCAGTTCTGCAGTTTTATCCTGAAGTTTCATATTAGCAGCATCAAATCGTGACATTATTCTGTGCCATAGCTCCGTCATAAAAGCTACATCCAAAGTTTTCATTTTTTTAAAAAGTGCAATAGCTTCTTTTTGTGTCTGACGTTTTTCATCTTTATCCAGAATAATTGATTCTAATGTCTCAAGATATGATTGTAATTTGAATGTAAAACTTTTAGTTTTACATTCAATTTTTTTTTTAGTTTTCTGTCCATTATTGTCCATTTATTGGAAAAATAATTGTAATCTTAATTTATAATTTATTAGTGGTAATAAAAAAAAGAAGTAAAAAACTAATATTTCAAAAAATATATAAATTATTTAATACATATTTTCCAATAAATATAAAAAAATAAATTATTTAATACATATTTTCCAATAAATATAAAAAAATAAAAAAACAAACAACTATTAATTTAAGGGATATTATTTGTTCCCAAACAAAATAAAAAATTCAAATAAAATTGTTAATTCGCATTACTCGATAAATAATTAAACAGTTTAGGATTTAAATTGTATCCGTTTATTTCACTTTTTCTAGTAAGTAAAAAAAAGATAAAAATTATTCGAACTTTTTTCCAATACAGTTCGAACGTGTTCAAGTTCAAATTTTTTTTTTAAAACTTAGAGTTCTTATTTTTAATTACATGAGAAACTAGTGTAATTAATTTGATTAAAAGTTATTAAAAATTATTTTCATTAGAAATTAGGAAAATTAATTTAGAATGTCAAGTCATATATAAAAAAAAAATAATATAAACGTTAAAAACCGGGGGCCCCAATGGTACCTAATTTTCCCCGGCTGGGCGCCTAGGCTCACAGGAACCCGGGTTAATCCGGCATTGATTACACTATGAAAGCAGTGCTTCTGTTTCTTATCTAGATTGCAAATCATATCCTTTCTATCAAACGCAAGAAGTGAGACAGGAGTCTATTCTTTAACCTCATTTGTATAACATTTATACTCAAAACCCACTAGAAACCTTACAAAACGAAAGCGTCGTAGGTATATCAATCAATGGAAACTATACGGGTGTTAAAGCATATGCTGATGACATTACACTCTTTAGCTCCACCCTCTCTGGCCTACAAAAGCTTATTAAAATATGTAATATGTACACACACAAAAACTGCATAAAATTGAATGCTGAAAAAATCGAGTTCCTGCTCACCTGAAAAAAGCAAATTAAAAACTGCACAATCAAATTAAAAACTGCACTCTCAACCACCAACAAATAAACTTCATGATAAACTCAGTTATCTAGGCTTTACATGGGATACAAAAAGTTCACCTATTGCCTCACTTAATAAATCAAACATTGATCACCGAATATCTAATTTCTGGACGGTAATCTAAACCTTAATTCAATCAGGAACCCGTTTTGCTCACGCAAACTCTATTGTCCAGTTATACAAAACTTTAGCTGTTTCAACACTAACGTATGGTTTTTAGCTGTGTAAACAAAAAAAAAATGTTAATGCAAAAGCTTGATATAGTTGGAAGAAACGCAATTAAGTCACTCCTTAACGTTTCAAAACATAGCAAAAATTAAATTCATACCTTATTTTTTATTGAAGATATATCAATTATTATACAACAAAACAAGCTAAACTTATTTATTCGCCTGATGAACAATAAAATGACATATGATATTATTAAGTCGCAGCTAAAAAACAGCCCCACAACCTTTTTTAGATAACATCAAAGGCTTGTGCAATAATCATGAACTAAATCTGGAGACAATAATGCAAAGTAAAAAAAAAAAAATAACTATCATTGGCCTCAAAAACTTAATTCCTGATACGGATCTTCAAACTCTAAAATGTGCAGTTGAGTGCTGGAACTCAAAAGAACAGAGAACTATCTTCAAGGACATTCTTGAAAAAAATATTCTTAGATGATCACGTTAAAAAAAAAAAAAATTCCCAGATTTTTTATATTTATCTTATGAAATTCTTAATTTACCTTGGTGTTTAATAAATCTAAATAAAAAAAAATTAATATCTCCAAAGCTTATATCTATATTAATATTATCCCGCTTGCACGCAAAACAAACAAGCGAGGTGGAGGTGGTCTTATTTATTTAAACAATAATTGGTAGTTTATTATCAGGCCTGACATGAGTATTTTTGATGGCGATAAAGAAATTAAAATGGATAAAGAGATTTAACTATTGAAATTATTACAGAAAAAAAAAAAAAACAATTTTAAGCTGCTGCTACCGCTCACCATCAGGCGCAATTAAAAGTTTTAATTTTTTGATTAATGATATCATAAAATAAGGTTTTCACAAAAAAAAATCAGGTTACTTAATTGGTTATCTAAACTTAAATTTTTATCACAATTATATAAATATAATAAAATTAAAATTTTTATAACGACTTGTTTGAAAATAGAGTAATTCTTTTAATAAATAAACCTACAAGGGTAACAACAAAATCAACTTCACTAATAGACAAAATTATTACAACGGATGCCTCAAATAAATTACTCAAAAAAGGAATTATTAAAAGTGATTCATCTGATCATTTTCTCACATTTTTCTCTATTAATAGAATTACTGAGTTACTACCTCTATGAAAACAAGTAATTATAAAACTCATTAATGATAAAAACTTTCTCTTATTTAAAGAGCAATTGTCTTTGATAAATTGGAGTCTTATTTGTCTTTGATAAATTACTTCTGAACCAAACAAAATGTACAACTTCCTATTAGTAATTCTGAACCAAACAAAATGTACAACTTTCTATTAGTACTTCTGAACCAAACAAAATGTACAATTCATTTTTTAAAATACTTTATGGAATTTTCCTAAATGCGAGGTTTGTAAAACAAATAAAAATATTAAATCACCATGGATTACAAATATTTAAGAAAATCCTCAAAAATAAAACAAAAACTGTATATCAAATACCTAAAATTGAAAACAACTGAAAATAAAACACTCCATAAAACTTATCCAAAACAATTTGAAAAACAAAGAAAAAACCTTAAAAAAAAAACCAATTTATTTAAAAAATACAAAAATGATTCTAAAATAACAAATATTTCCTACCAGTTGGACCAAACTTAGCTAAAAATATCCCTATTTTCACTAATGTAGCAAGTGACACTCCCTCTTCATTTAACTCTTCTCTAAAAATTTTGGAACAACATTCGAAGAATTTGAATTCGCCTATAAAATGATTTAACTTAATAAAGCGGACCAGACGATATTAATGGAAATATTGTTATTGGTTCTTATGACATCATTAAAAATATTATTTTTAAAATTTTTAGTTACTCAAAATAGTTAGAGTTACTCCAATCTTTAGAGGAGGTGAACTAACTAAACTCAATAACTATCGCATAATTTCAGTTCTCCCTGTTTTTTCAAAAGTTTTGGAAAGAATTTTGTATAATAGAATATATAACTAAATTAGTACATAAAAAAACAACTTTCCAGACCATAACCAGGTTAGCAACTTTAAAAAAAAATTTTATGACCCACCCTAATATATATATATATATATATATATATATATATATATATATATATATATATATATATATATATATATATATATATATATATATATATATATATATATATATATATATATATATATATATATATATATATATATATATATTCTTTTTTTAAACTTTTTATATCACTTTTCCGCACTAATTCACTCGCTTCATTAATTCAACTAATCGTCTGTTTTCCCCCATCCAAGATGGCATCAACTTGCGCTATCGTTATTTTGTATAACCACGTGACTTTCCCACTGCGAGGATTGCAATCAAATTCAAATTGCAATCAAATTAAAAAATCATTTCAAATCTTATTAAAGAGTAATCTTTTTATAATATTTAACTTTTGTTTTATATTATACTGTTTTGTTATTTAACATTACATAATATATTTTACATTTATTTTAAATCACAAATATTAGGGTAACAAGGGGCATTAGGCCCCATGTTTTCAAGAACTTTTCTTTCTCTCTTTGAATTAAGTTAATAAATATTAAATTTAAACTGGAAATATTTAAATTATAAAAAACACATATTTCTTTATGTTCAAAATGGGGGCAATAAGATCCTCTATGAAAAACATAATTTAACATAATTTTTAGACACTTTTCACAGATCCAGTCCATGGCTTCACTATCAGCTGTCTGGAATTTCTGTGCATTTTAAATGGTATCAAATATCACTTAAGTCACAGCACACCCGTTCTTTATTTTGAACTCTGTGAATACCACACTATAGACACAGTGTTGTCATCTTTATCACTGCCAGTGATAAAGATGATGATTCAGAGATTATAGGGCCAGTGACACTGGCCCTATCATCTCTTACTCGACGATTTTTTTATTTTGTTGTGGTCTTTTTCCTTGGAGCACTATCTTTTTTTGCTGCTTCTTCTTTCAGTCACTTCAAATATTTCTCACCTGTCAGACTTTCTCCATAGCCAAAGCTGATGGTTCTTACCGACCTACCATCTCCAGAAGTTTGCAAATCAGAGCTGCAGTTCTTTGAGAAAAAAAAACTTTAATAAACAACTTTTCTGAAAATGAAGCTGACAATTGTGTCTGTGGTCTTTCTGTCTGGTATTTTCGATAAAGGTGACGATTCTGTTGATGATGCTGCTGATGACGATGATGACAGCAATACATGCTATTTCCAGCACAATGCTTTTGCCTCCTTCTGAGGCAGAAGCATTGTGAGCACAAGTGCTAGAAAGTCCTTTTAATTGTGCTTAGCATGATTAAAGGTACCTGGTTAGCAGACATTTGCTTACATATATCAGAGCTGTAGGCATCTGTTATTGTCTGGCTAGATGCATAGATTTTCCTGCCTCCTTTCTTATTCTTTTTGTATGCCCAAACCATTCTGCTAAATAAAAGGGGCAATAAGCTTCATTATCAAAACTAATTTAAAAGAAAAATTTAAACTATTTCTACAAATTAATAACTTTTGTTTTTAAATTAAACTATATCTATGTAATGTTTATTAATTTTAGAGTTATTTATAAACAATCTCTTAGACATTCATCCAACTGCCATTTTACTTTGCTAAAATTTCTACCTTCATTTGCTCTACAAATATTAGTATTTTAACTCATTGATAACATACACAGATAGTCAAAAACATAAAAAAAAAATACTTGTTTATATGTACTTGTATTTGTATGGAAAATATAAACAGTTCAATGCAGAAATAATTTTTTAAGTCAAAACAAACAAGCACTGGCTTTTATTAAAGTTTTTCATTAAGTTTGAAGGAAACTGGATGAAAAAACCACTCATCAATAAATTCTAATTTAAAATCAATGCTGTTGGTTAGAAAACCCAGAATGGTTATGAAAAATTTCCTTATTGGTTAGTTAGTCTCTATCATGTAGAACTTAATACTGCTCTCTCTTTATACAATAGCACTGATGCCATTTCATTATATGAACAGAGAAAATAGGGCTTAATACCCCTGTTACCCTACATTTATTATACATTTACATTTAGCTGAAAATTTTTCAGCAAATTGTTTCTGTAAAGGTAAACATCTAGGAGACTTTAATTACATATTATATTTGCAGACAAATTTTTCTGCAATAGTTATTGAGTTTTTTTTTCTAATTAAAATATGTACAAGTGCTCTTTTTCTACACATTTTTTAATAATCTCTGGTCAAACTCACTTTACTTAAGTTATGGTCAACTTGCTTAACTTAAGCTTATATGTGTCCTTAAATAAACAATATACAAATAAGATATACATTAAATCCATAAGATGTTATTAAATGTAATGACCTTTATTTTACTATATATTATATAAAGAAGTAGAATTTGATGGATTTGTTAGTCTAATGATCAAATTTTTTTTATGTTAACAGGGTTGTTATATTCATTTACTTAAAATGGAACATAAGCAAAAAATGTTAAAAATTGGAGCAAGGTTAACACATCACAATGTTATAGAAATAAAGTATCTCTTTGCAGATAAGATTGGTGATGGTGTTCTTGAAACCATTAAAGATGGTTTGGATATGATCAGAGTACTTGAACGTATTGGCACTATTGATAAAGATAATTATAAAGAATTAATTGATTTACTTGAGAGTTTGGGTAGAAAAGATCTCATTTCAATCATTGATCCTCAGCCTCAACAGTGTGAGTTTTAATTTTTAAAGTTTAAAATAGTTATTGTTGTAGTGTATTTAATATTTTTCTGTTTTTTATGTGACATTAGTTTCCTATTTAATGGGAAAAAAAACATCAGATGTCTTCTATGAGCAAGAAAATTACAGTTACGATAACAGTTAATAATAACAGTTATGGCATGCAAGCCTAACTCTCAGAATTCACTTACTCTGCTAAATTTTACATTATTCAAAGCTTTTTATTAGTTATGAGCATCCCCAAAGTTTTGTCATCTAATTTAAACATCCGATAGATGTTAATATGTAATAAATAATATGTAATATTATGTAATAAAATGTTAATATGTAATAAATAATAACTTTGACTCACAAAAATTCTGTGTGCAATGGAAATCTAAGAATATGTACATTTTTTACATAATTTACATACTATATATATATTACATACTATAAATTACATTTTATAAAACCAAATTATGTAAATGTACATAATATCAGCTAAATCCAAAAAAAATATCTTGAAACATGCAGATGTTTCTCAATAATTATTTTATTTTTTTAAAAAGTATTTCTAAATGACTAAGTTAACCTTGTAAATCTAAGTTGGAGGATAGTCTTAGTATAACATTAAATTTGTTTTTAGTAGTTTGTATAACATTCAATTTAATGTTGATTTAACATTCAAACATCTGTTTAATGTTGATATATACAGTAGTGCTCAAAAGTTTAGCCCGCAGCAGAATTAGATTTACTTTTTTCCATATGTTATTTTTTCAATTAATAAAGTTATAAAAAAAAAAAAGTTTTCTATTTATAAATTAACTAGTCATAACCAGATAAAATAAGACAGAAAATTAAAAGTTTGCTTTAGCACATTCATTTTTTTAAGTACATACATTAAGCGGTACTTGAAGCTTTAAAAAAAGCTGCTCATAAGTTTAGCACACTAGCTCTTCTTAACGCTTTTAAGGAGAGCATTTATAAATTTATTGCGGTAAAAGTTGCATCATAATAAATTAAGCTCTCCTTTTCTCATAAAATATTACAAAAATCTTTTTGATGAAATACTACCAAAATATATTTAAATTAATATGTAGTATTTTAAAAGTTTGTTTGAAATTAATTCATCTTTGTTGCTAAACTCTAGATTATGATAATAATTGACTTATTGTTTCTGTTCCCATTGGAAGAAAAACAATAAGTCAAGCAATCAAACAGCATATTATTGGCCTTTGTATGGGAGGTGACTCTAACATTAAAATATCTCAAATTTTAAAGTGTTTCAAAATCTTGTATAAGTAGAACTGTTGTTAAGTTTAATGAAACTGGTAATACTGCTGACAAAAAGCGTTGTGGGCGATCAAGAAAGACAAATATGACTGATGATAATTCTATTTATAGAATTGCCAGAAAAAATCCTAAAATACTCAGCAAAACGATTGCACAAGAAATAAACCTGACACTTAAAAATCAAGTATCAAGCCAAACAGTTTATAGAAGATTAATAGGATGTTAGCTGTGGTGCTATATTTCTGGCAGAAAACCATTGTTAAAACCAACAGATCATTTAAAACAAATTAAGTTTTGCAAAACGATTTTAAAAATGAGTAATTATGAATAAAGAAAAATTGTTTTTAGTGATCAATCAAACTTCACCTTCCTAAATTGTAAAAACTAAAATCAAGTAAAAGTAATTGTCTGTAGGCATCACAATAAAAAGTATAATAGTCACTGTATTGTACCTATACTACAAGGTGGAGGTGTTGCAGTTTGTATTTGGGGTTGCATCACATATGATGACTCAAGTCTACACATATTATACAATGGTTGAGTGGACCAACATAGATACATTGATATCCTTGAAAAGATTTGATGCCTACCAAGGACTTTTCTTTTGGTAACGAGCCAGAATGGTAATGCTTCATGCCAAAAAGCAAAATCAGTAACAGAATGGTTTGAGTAAAACAATATCAAGGTACTTCAATGGCCAACTAGATCACCTGATCTGAATCCAATTGAAAATGTTTGGACTGAGTCAGACCGAAAACTTACCACAGAACCAGTAACTCCAGCTGAAAATCTAAGAGAAAATTTAGACAAGTTGTTTATTTATTTGACAGTTTAATATTGTCGTATATGTTTGATTCTATAAGAAGAAGATGTTCATTATGCATAAAAAATAGGGATGGTCACATTCTTTATAAAGGTTTGATCTAAAAACAACTTTAAACCCAAGTGTGCTAAACTTGTGAGCATCTTATTTTATGTATGATTAATTTCTTCCCAATAATTTGATATATATTTTTCATTGTTTTTATTTTTTTTTTCTCTTACAATGTTCTAAATATCTTGAAAAAAGTTTTGTGTTTAAAATAACTAAAAATAGCTGCGTGCAAAACTTTTGAGCACTATTGTATGTCTTGAAAACTATTGGTTAAAATTGAATGCAGAACTTTCTCACAAAATTCTACAAGGTTTTTCATCCAGATCATCTTGTTTCTTTTAGTTGTGCAAGCACTTTTCTCATAGGACATTATGATTGAAGATAACACTTGAAAATATTTCTAAAAGGCAATAATACTATAAGTATTATTGTACTTCTATTTTACTTGACTACCCTCTGGAGAATACATATTCTTATACACTTATTAGGGTTGCTCAATCAGCAGCCTATATTGTCTAAATCTTGCTAATTTCCATAAACTTTAGAAGACTCTGAAAATTTCTAGAAAAATTCTTGAGAAATTTCTAACAGTTTGACAGTTGTAGCAGTTGTTAAGCCCTTTATTAACAGTTGTTACATCTCTACAGATTACTCTGTATCTTATGGTTGTCATATTATAAGCCTCAGCAGAAATGGCGTGTTATTGCCTGCACCTGTCTCCACATTAGGGTGGAGTCGAAATAACTTTTTTCAGAAATACAACTATTCTTCTTCATTCTATATTAGTTATAAGAAAACTAAAAAAATGAGACAGAGATACAAAAAATAGGACAAGAATTATCTCCTGAAGCAATTTTTGGCTAATATTAACTAATATACCAATCAAAAAAATTAAATGTTAGGCATATATTAAAATCTGTGCTCTACTCGGAGTTTTAATACAAACCATATTTCCAAATGTTATTATAATATTTAATTTGAAATAATAATATTATTTATAAATTAACAACATTTAAAATAATAGAATAATATATAACATATTTTATAGTTTGAAATTATAAATTAATTGAAAATGGTTTTGAAATTACGAGTAGAGTATGTATTATTTGCGTATTATTCCATTTTTTCTGTTTAAAAGTTTTGTGATTTGTTTCAAGTTTTTCTTGTTTTTTTTTTTTTTATGCTTACTAATACTATGATCTATGATAATACTTTACTATTCTAATATATATATATATATATATATATATATATATATATATATATATATATATATATATATATATATATATATATATATATATATATATATATATATATATATATATATTAGGGTGGCTCATTATGATGTAAATGTTAGGTTGGCGCTGTGAAACATTACTAAAATGTTGCATTATAGTCTTCTTATGAAAAAAACTCCTTTTGAAATAAAATGTAAGTATGTCTTGGATCCGCAACTTTGGAATTAAAATTTCAGTATAATTGTATAATGTAAATACACATGGTTTAATGCTAGATTCCATTACTCTACAACTTGTTAAAATAAATATAAAAATACAAGAAGTTGTTGAAAGAGAAATTGTCAGAGTGTAGTAGGCAACATATAACAGCAAATTGTTTCATTTATTTGCTATTTGTTATGGCTCAAAAAGTCAGATTTAGACTTAGGCTCAAAAAGTCATAAAAAAAAAGTCAAAAAAATTTAGAGCCAATTTTGGGTAATTCTGCTCGAGATTTGTGACACTGCCATTCCATGTTGTGATTTGTGCCCGAAAACTTTTATAGTTGTTGCTGAGATGTCTTTAATAGTTGGTTCAACTGCCTGTGAATGGCATGGAATACCACTCAAGACATTAACACCGAACTGGAAATGTTCAAGATCATCATTCGAAACAGTTGATAAAAGTGGTGGTGGTGTTGTAATAGCAACAGACCAGTCAATCATCTTTAAGAATGACGAAGCTTCTGGATCAAGTTTTATGCTTGATTTATCAAAGACACGTATCTTGCTACTTTGTGATGTTGCTCGAGCTTTAATTATTTTATGACACGAAAACTGACGAATTGATAAATTTTTATCTGTAACTCCTCCCAGAAGAATGTTCTCAAGATGAGCAAAATAACAGTTATTTTTAAAAACTAGTTCAAGAATTTTCCAGTCTTCCTTCCCTAGTTCATAGCACTTCTTCATAAGATAGAAGAAATTTCTTGCTCCGTCAAGGCAGGAAGAATGTTGCTTTATGTTGAACCACGATGGAGCATAAACATTTAGGATGAATCTTGTAATTCTATGCAATGGTTTTGAAGGATTTTCCTTAGACATATACAAACGTAAATAACGATTGACCTTTATTAACCACCTTGCATGATTTATATTTCCTGGCATAGCAGTCTGGAGGAACAATATTTGATCAGAAGCAGTGTATCCCTGCTGAACAGCTAAGCAAGCTTTTAGAAGGTATATCTGGTCAGAGCTTAAATCTTTCTTAACATTAACGCTTACATCCTCATCTTTGCCAGGTATATGCTTGAAGTGCACGATAACTAAATCTTTTGGATCAAAATGTAGTTCAATGTCTATTTTACCTATTGAAGTAGCTGGACCTGTTGAACATCCACCATCCAGAACGGAGAAATATTTTTTAAAAGGTAGTTCATTTGCATGTAACAAGCAGACCAACCATTGTAATGTTCTCCCAAGACCTTCTTCTAATTTTCTGATTACTCCATTGTGTTGACCTGTGTTATTCACAGTACCATCAGAAGTAACTGCTGCTAAAGTGTCTGATGATTTGATTTTTTTGATGCCGATTAATATCTCTTGTGCAATATCAACAGCTTTACTA